AGAAGAAAGAGATTAGGAGACGAGACGAAGGTTGGAAAGAGCCCGCAGGATTTCCGAAGGAGGTGAAAGAGGGAATGGACAAAGCTCGCAAGCTTTTCCAAACAACAAACCCGCAGGTTTTATCTCCAAAAATAACTCACATCATTCTCTTTTTAAAAACAACCACAAACATCAATATTTATAGGCACAAAAAGGGCAGCCAAACAGCCCAAATGTTAGGGAAATGGAAGGTTAAAAGACACCTAGAAGAAGGCTAAAAGACACAAAAAACTGCAGTAGAAAAACTGCATAGAAAACAGTAAAAAGCTCTTGGAATTCCTCCCAAAACAGCCACCAAAAACTGATCCAATTCTGTCCAAAAACTGTCTAAAAACAGCCCCCCCAAAAGACACTTCAATTCCCCAAGAAAAGCCAAAAGACTTCCCTGCTGAAATCCCAAGAGACACATCAAAAATCCAATGAATAAAGCCACGGAACCAGCCAGCACAAGCCACGGTTTCAGCACAGGAAACCAGGAGTCTTTTCACGGGAAAAGGGAGAAGAAGTTACGGCAGCAAAGAGGGCAGATTCACTGAACCAACAGCAATTGGGAAAAGGAGGGACCACAGGAAATAAATCCTGAGCCAGCCGTGCAAAAGCAACCCAAGAGACACTCTGCAGCAGCCCGTGGGAGAGAAAACCAAAGAAGAAAAAAACCTGCAGCAGCTTTAATTCAAGAGGAATATGAAAGAACAAGTTCTACTCATCTAATCTAGCTCCCAAACATTAATTTTATAACTAAACATCAGCTCATAATGAGCTACACTTCTATTAGATATTAATGAGCTTGCACCAACTAAAAATTCAACAACTAAACTCAAAACCGAAATCAGCCAAGGCTCCATAGAATTGTGTTGACCCCCCCTTTGCCTACATCACCTATGCATCATATACACATTTATATTTATAAATAAAATTTACATTTAAATTTTCTGATTTATCAATAATCATCATACTTAAATTTGTGTTAAAGTATCACCTTAATTTAAAAGTAGAAGGGAATTTTTCTTTTCTTGCTTTTACTTTCCCTATTCACTTCAAAAATCCTTTTTTGTATCTTTTATAAACCACATACTCAACGTTTGTCGTTATTGATCCTCTCTCGACTTCCTTTTTCTTCTTCACAGTCTCACCTCTTTTTTCCTTTCTCAGTTTAGTCCAATGTTCTAAGAGGCAAATTATAGGTAATGTTAAATGTCTCAAACTTCATCAAAGATGATGTCGAGGGTATCAAACATTGTTAAAGAAAACTTTGAAGGCATCGAAATTTGTCGAAGTTAACATTTTCTCCTCTCCTTTTTCTTCTCCATTAAATATGATCGCACTCTTCCTCCACTTTGTGTCAACAAGAATGTCATAGAGCTGCATAGACTTCCTTCTACCACTTTTTTGAACTAGTCTGCACGGCTATATGTACTCACTTTTTATTTTCTGTCGAACGAGCTAACTCGGTCGAACATTCCATTCTTTCTCTTCCTTTGTCTTTGTTTTATAAGCCAGACCTCTCCTATTCCCTGATCCTTTTCATCAATCAAGATTGTATGAGGGATGAGAAACGGTGGCCCTCCATTTGTTGTACCTTATATGAGAAATAATTCGCTCCCTCTTATTTGCTTCTTCTCACTCATTTATCTCCGTCGCACCTAGCATGAGCATACCGAACGATTATTCAATTGAATCGACTTTTCTTATTCATTTGAACTTCTTTTTTACATATATATTTCCACATAAGTATAAAGTCTTCTATTGCGTACTCTGGAGAAAAGTGAAGGAACACCTCCGAGCGTTCTGACTTAATGCATTTTCCATGATTTTAATTTACAACCTATATAATTCATTTCTAAATCAAATTTCTTAATTTATGAATATAAATAATTCTTCAGATAATACTTAAATAATGTTTTAAATTTCAAACTTTTTATATATACATAACTACAAACTAAAATTTTATATATAATAAAAAAATTATAATTCTACAACAACAACATCAAGCTTTTATCCCACTATGTGGAGTCGGTTACATGAATCTTTTTTCTCCATTGTGTCATGTTAAGAGTTAAATTCTCTTTTAAATCTAATAAAGAAAGATCATTTCTAATATTTTTCTAAATTCTAACCAAGTGTTTTGAGGTTTTTCTCAATCTTTCTTAATATAAGTCAAATCTAATACATCTATTTTCCAATATGGGTCATCGAAAGGTTGCTGTTTTATGAAAAAGCAAATTTGCTTACCTTCCCTCCACACGTGAACTCGCTGGTGCCATAGCCACTCGCTCGAGTGCGTCTTCCCTCTCGTCGAGCTTGTCTTCCCCTTCATTGCCAACAACTATCACACATGACTTTGCCTCTTGCTGAAGGTGGTGGAAAATCCTGCTCAATTGCTTACTCGCATACCTCTCTCATCTCTTGCTATCGATCTTGGGCTCCCTACCATCTCTCTTTATTGCAATTTAAGGTAATCAGAACCCTTTCATGTTTTCGTGACAGCAAGCAACAAAACTAACATAGTTGGTTTAGTCGGACCGAATGTAATCAGTTTGGGTTTTTTTTTCTGGTAATATTACAGAAACGCACCTCATTGCAATGCTGATTTTGTAATATATGGATGACATCATTTTCATTGTTGGATTATTAGAATATGTTCCAAGTTCTTGAATTTTTTTTTAAAATTCTTTTTTGCATAGTTTTTTGAGAAATTTATGTTTAGCATTTATTCGTTCTTGTCTGTTATCCTGATTGTTTATTTTTTCTCAGGTGTACTGGTTATCACTTGATTATCTTTTGGTGGCTAGAGCTGCAATTGTGAGTATGATTCTTCCAGTTCTGTTCATCTTATGTGAATGAATACAAAGCAACAACGTTGTTCCATGGGCATTGTTTCTTCTAAGTAAAGGGTTTTGAACTCTTGTCTTATTTTGCTTTATTTAGAAACTACATATTTTTTGTAATATAGGGAAACATATTTTTCATTATTTAGAAACTTCATATTTTTGAGTTTAGTTTCAAGTTAACCTGAGAATTTTTAGGTGGATTCTCTAATTTAGGTGAGGAAAGGTGGGGAGAGAACCATAGTCGAGGCCAATATTTCACAAAAATTGGTCGCCAAGTCTCCTAGTCTGTGTAGTGTTCCCAGGTTTCATACATGAAAGTGTTATTCCTACAGTTAGGTCTCGGTATGCTTATTCCAAAGGAGCTGTCCATGAATCCAGGAACAAGAAGCATCCTTCTGCATGCGGGGTCTGCTGTTTTCTTATTTTTTATATTTTATTTCTTTCAGGGGCAAGTTTTCTCCCTGTAATTTTTTGTTTTCACAGATTTTTCTCTGTTGACTTAAATAGATAGGGAAATGAAATTTTAATAAGTTATCTATAATGGTATAAGATATTTATAATGTAATATAAAAGGATGCAAACATAATTATGTCAATTGTTCAGTTTTTAACAAAACATTCTCATAAATTCTTTTACAACTTCAAATCCGGAGATCCAAAAATTATGGAAAATATTCATAAATTAGTTAAACTTGTCTAGAATGCTATGGTGAAATCGGTTAACAAAACCGACACCTAACGGTCTCAAAACCGCCACTTGTACTGACATATGCCAATTTCTTAAAAAACTACACCACTAATAAAAAATTAGGGATAAATTATTATAATTAGAGTATAACAATATCTATGCTATGGTCAAGATGGTTTTCTTCATGTAATTTTTTATTTTAACATATCTTTCTCTGTTAACTTAAATAGATGGGAAATGAAATTTTATTAAGTTATCTATAATGTTATAAGATATTTATAATATAATATAAAAGGATGCAAACATAATTATGTCAATTGTTCAATTTTTAGCAAAACATTCTCATAATTTTTTTTTATATCTTCAAATCTGGAGATCCAAAAATTATGGAAAAATATTCATAAATTAGTTAAACATGTCTAGAATGCTATGGTGAAATTGGTTTACAAAATCGATTCCTAACCGTCTCAAAACCGCCACTTGTACTGTCATATGCTAATTTCTTTAAAAAATACCCCACACTAAAAAATTAGGTTAAATTATTATAATTAGAGTATAACAATATCTATGTTATGGTCAAGATGGTTTGCAATTTGGATTTATAATGACTCATGGAAATTTTTTTTAACTGTTATTGGTCAAAATTTATCTTTTTAAATTTAAATGTTATGTTACTTGCAAGCTGCATGCTCGATCCTTCCTCTTCTTTTTTTTTTCCTTCTCCCTTGCTCAGTGGCTCATTAGTTTGCCTAGGTTATCACACTTTGGATCTCCTTCTCACCGTCGCATTTCCTTTTCACAAGATTTCGTTAGCTTGCCTTACTCGGTCCACTCAGCAGTTTTCCTTCTCTCTTTCTCCCTTCTTCTCTTATTCGTTCAATTTCCTTCCACATCTCCTGTCTCCTGGCGCGATTTATGGAGATGAAACCCTTCATCTTTATCTTCCCTTGTGATGCTAAGGAATGGACACAGTCAATTCAGTCAAATTGATTGTGTCTGTTCGATTATATACACACACGCACACACTCATATTACTGAATTTTTGTGATGTTTTCTAGGTTCATATACTCTTTGAACATTTGCATTGTTTAGTAGTATTGAAGGCATGCCTTTACATTAGTGCGTTGTTCTGTTGTTTCAAATTTTCTTTTTTGTAAGCTGCATTTTTACTTATTATGGTTTTCACCATTTATTTGTCAGCATTGTGGATCGTACTTCACTGCAATAATGTATGTAGAGCATTGGTGTGAAGAGCATTTTAATGGTCTACTTCTGGGTTCGCCAGATTTTTCCCATATGGAGGAGGTGAGCTTTTATTTCCTTTTTTTTTCTAGTAGGTTGTTTGGTTTTCCCACGAATGTTAAGTATAAAGATTGTTGGGAAAAAAAGTAGATGACTTGTTTTCTTAGAAAATTGGGTGTAAAAGTTTGTAAAATCGAAATCATTTTATCTCCTTTTATAAAGTAAACGTGCTTAACTTGTCATCAGTTTGTGTGTGAAGTAATTGCAACTTGGATTGAGAGGGTTGCAATGCATGCTATAAACTTGATTAGATTCATCAAAGTGCACCTAATAAAATTACTTTCTCACAGTTGTGGAAGGTTTTCCAGAAAGTCTTATGATGTTTGAATTTTTAGAAAGTCTCTCAGTTATGTAAGGTATATAGAAAGTTTAACATTGTTTCAAAATCCTTCCATCTTCTGTTTTAGTGTAAAGTAAACGTGGTTAACTTTTCAGCAATTTGTGCTGTAGGTGTATGGAGCCACTTTAAATTGGAAATTTTAAATTGTCCTAATGGTTTACCATCCTTTGCATAAATAGTGTGAACTTGATTATAATCATTAAAAACCCGCCTAATAAACGGAGTAGTTTCTCACAATCATGATGTTATTCTTGTGAGTCTAACCATGTATTAATATTTGGACTGTGGGGATAACCTTTTAACATGCTAATTGATTTTTGTATGGAACATAGCAATGCATTTACAATTAAGGATATCTTTGTTTGGATTTTAATGTTGTCTACTAAATTTAATTGCATCATTTAACTTGTCTTAGTTGCCCGCTCATATTGAGCTGCTGGTTGCTGCATTCACTCGGATTAATGAGCCAGATGCTATATACGGAGTAATTCAGTCACACAAGGTTGATCCTTAATGACATTCTTTTGAACAAGCTTGTGTTTTTGTCCCATTTACTATTCTTTATAATTTTTTAGCAATATTTGATTAGTTTTTTGTTTCTTTTGCCAATGCCAAATTAGCAAGTTATCTTTATTGGTGACTTTATGATTTAGTTGGCCTTCATAAAAGTACTTATGCACTTTTGTTTGATTGTTCTCCTTGGTTATATCTTTCATCCTTATTTGCTCAGTATATATAGCTTGATCAGAATGAGGCTCTTAGTAGTGCAATTCCAACCCTCCTATTAGGTTCTAGGAAGACATATAAAATGTTCATTGGTTGTAAGAACTGTGTTTCTTGTTCAATGAACCAAACCTTATTTTTAAACCTGGTTTTCTCTTGATAGTCAATTGAAAATTCATCTGATGGTTTTGCTTGAATTGCAAACACCTCTTATTAGTCTTGTATTTATTTAAGGGCATTTTTTTTTCTGTACCTATTAAGCACAAGTAAATAGCATGCGATTATGTTAAGTATATGATGTTTATGTTGTATGAGGTTTCATGATGACTCTTGAATAATCACCTTCTAGTTAAAATAAAATCTGTTGTTATTCTATTTAATTTTCCCATATGATTACATTAAATACAATCATCATCATAATACGATCCTCTAGAGAAGAGTCTTGAATAATCACCTTCTAGGAATGACTCGAAAAGATCCTAATGAGAATCAACCAACAAACCTAACTTTAAAATGTCCAACCAGCCTTAAATTATCCATGAATCTATAAACGATCTCCATATTAGGTCAACTTGTCATCAAGTGAGAAATAAAAGGAAATGCCACATTAGTGATCCTTTTATCAAGAAAAAAAAAAGAACTACATTGAAAACAACAAAGAAGTTGAGGAAGAAAATGAATCTGAAAATAATGATGACATAGAATTAGAGAAAATAGATGTCGAGGGGGATGAAGGAGAAGAACTTTTGGTAATCTGACAAGTCTTAACAACAAAAATTGATAACAGGGACAAATGAGTTAGAAGAAACATTTTCAAAACAACTTGTACAGTTGAAGGAAAATCTGCACTCTTATAATAGATAGTGGAAGTTCAGGGAATTTTGTGTCTCAACTGATGGCCGATAAGATGAAATTAAAGTCCAAACCGCTTGCTAACCTTATAAAATTTATTGGTTTAAAGAGGGAGGTGAGGTTCCTATCATAAAGCAATGTGTTGTTAGCTTAACAATTCGGGGGTCTTTTAAAGATCAAGTGACTTGTGATGTTATGCCTCTTGAAGTCTGTCACATTCTGTTGGGACGACCTTGGCAATTTGATAACAAAACTATTCATACCGGGGAGAAAAACAATTACTCTTTGATTCAAAACAACAAGGAATTCACTGTCTATCCGCAAAAAAACATGTGCCTGATTCTCCTATTAAAAATAAAAAAGTTGCCAAAATAAGCACTCTTGAATTACTTTTGAATGCTAATGATTTGAAACACTGATGTGGTTTACTTGGTTTTGGAAAAAGAAATTGATCATGTACTTCAAATTCCTTAAAAAATTCAATCTTTAATCGATGAGTTTTCTGATTTAACTCATGAAGAACTGCCTGTAGGTTTGCCACCGATGAGAGATATTCAACATCATATTGATTGAATTCCTGGAGCAACATTGCCTAATTTACCTCATTATAGGATGAGTCCAAATGAACATGCTGAACTTTTTAAGCAAGTGACTAATTTGCTAGAAAAGGGTTTGATTAAAGAAAGCTTAAGTCCTTGTGCTGTGCCTACTTTATTAACTCCAAAAAAAAAAATGGTACGTGGAGAATGTGTGTGGATTGTAGGGCAATAAATAAAATTACTATTAAATATCGCTTTCCTATTCCTAGATTGGATGACATGCTAGATATGCTAAGCGGTGCAAAAATATTTTCTAAAATTGATTTGAGAAGTGGGTGTCATCAAATAAGAATAAGATCTGGAGATGAATGGAAAACTGCTTTTAAAACTAAGGAAGGTTTATATGAATGACTTGTGATGCCATTTGGGCTTTCAAATGCTCCGAGAACTTTTATGAGAACTATGAATCATATTTTGAGACCTTTTATTGGCAAGTTTGTTGTTGTATATTTTGATGATATTTTGATCTATAGTGTTCAATCTTCTGATCATCTTAGTCATGTTAAACAAGAGTTGCAAACTCTTAGGGAACAAAAGCTATACATTAATCTCAAAAAAATGTTCCTTTATGACTTTGAGCTTAACATTTTTAGATTTTATTGTTTCGGCTGAGGGGATAAAAGTTGATCCAATAAAAATAGAAGCAATTCAAAGTTGGCCCACTCCTAAAAACATAAGTGAGGTGAGAGGATTTCATGGTTTGGCTTCTTTTTATTGAAGGTTTATTATAAACTTTGATTCTTTGATTGCTCCTATTACCGACGGTTTGAAAAAAAGAATATTTAGTAGGATACCTCAAGCTGAACAAACTTTAGTATTCATTAAGAAAAAATGATTCAAGGTCCCATTCTTAGTTTGTCAAATTTTGAAAACATTTTTGAAGTTGATTGCGATGCTTCTCATGTTGGTATTGGTGCTATTCTTAGCCAAGAAGAAAAACCTGTTGCTTACTTTAGTGAAAAAATGTGTGATGCTCGATCCAAATATTATGCTTACGATTTGGAGTTTTATGCTATTGTTCAAGTTTTGAAATTTTGGAGATATTACTTAATTCAACGGGAATTTGTTTTAAATACTGAGCATGAAGCACTTCGTTTTTTGGGCTCTCAAAAAAAATTGAATAAAAGGTATGCTAAGTGGGTTTCATTTTTGCAAGAGTATACTTTTCATATCAAACATAAAACTGGTGTTTTGAACAAGGTTGCTGATGCTTTAAGCCGGAGATCTCACTTGTTGGTAACTGTTTACCCACCTATTATCTTTTTTGATTTTTTTAATGATACTTATGCTAATAACCCTGATTTAAAAAAACATTTGTGATTCTTGTCTTGCTTTTAGATCTGATTCTTATGCTCAGTTTGTTATTCATAAATGATTTTTGTTTAAGGGATATAGACTTTACATAACAAATAATTCATTAAGAGAACAACTTGTGCATGAACTTCATAGTGAGGGATTGAGCGGACATTTTGTGCAGGGAAAAACTGTGGCTTTAGTGGAGGAAAAGTATTTCTGGCCTTATATGAGAAAATAAATTGCTAAGCTGGTGAAACAATGTAAAATTTATTAGGCTTTTAAAGGAACTTCTCAAAATGTTGGTTTATATACTCCCCTTCCAATTCCTAATAAACCTTGGGATGATATCTCTATAGATTTTTTTTTGGGATTTCCTGTTACTTTTAGAAAGTTTGATTCCATTTTTGTGGTGGTAGATCGATTTAGCAAAATAGCACATGTTGTTCACTGCAAGAAAACTTCTGATGCTTCATATATCACTGATTTGTTCTTTAAAGAAATTGTTCGTCTTCTTGGTGTTCCTCGCACTTTTACTTATGATAGATATACTAGATTTTTGAGTCATTTTTGGAGAACACTTTGGGCAAAATTAGGAACTACTCTTCAGTTCAGCAGTGCTTATCATCCACAAACTGATGGGCAAACTGAAGTTGTAAACCGAAGTTTGAGATACTTGTTGAGGTGCCTGGCAGGTGAGAAGCTATCCCAATGGAATTTAATTTTGCCCCAAGCTGAATTTGCTTACAATAATTCTGTCAATCGCTCTACTGGTAAAACTCCATTTGAAATCATTTATGGCCAGACTATACCTCACATTTTGGATAGAAACTGTTTACCTTTGCCAAATAATATTAGTGCTGAAGCTTCTGAAACTTTTGACCATATTAAAACTGTCCGACAACAAGTTCTTGAAAAACTTCGAATGGCTAATGTGAATTACAAAATTGATGCTGACAAAACACTGTAAAGAGATTTATTTCAAAGAAGGAGATTTGGTTATGGCTTACTTTCGTCGCCAACGATTTTTTGTTGGTACTTTTGGGAAATTAAGCAGGAAGAAATTTGGGCCATTTCGTGTTCTAAAAAGATTGGGCTCAAATGCTTATCTTTTGGATCTTCCTTCTACTGTTGTCACTTCTCCAGTGTTTAAGGTTTCTGATCCTTCTTTATATGAAGGAAATACTGACGATTATGTGGAACTTGAAACTTTACCACTCTCCACATCTGTTTTGAGTTATGATGAGCAGGTTGAAAATATTATGGATGTCAAAACTTCTAAGACTCGGTATGGTGAACACATGAAGTTCTTATCAAAGTGGAAAAATCGCCCCTTGACGGATTGTACTTGGATGAATGCAAAAGTGCTTGAAAAGCGTCGTCCGGAGCTTTATAAAAGAGTTGTGGAAGCTTTCTCATCAGTAGATGAGATTTTCCCACCAGGGGGGAATTGATGCATTCAGTTATTTTGGTTTATTTATGTTTTATTGTATTTTGAACAATATTAGTTGTGTTTTATTTTTGTTTATGCTATCCTATGATGGTTGGGCTTCCAATGATCATGGTAGGAAGGTGCTTGGAATGGCAAGCCTTGAGTTTGCTTGCTTTTGGGTCCACTTCATCCTTGGGCTGCTTACTGATTTTTGTTTTGGTGTGGTGGCGGCTCTCGGGTGGGCCTTGGATGCTTGGTGTTGAGCTTAAAAAAATGCTGGATTCTACTTGGTGCTAGCTGATTAATGTTGAGCTGAAGTTTAGCTCAATGATTGGGGGATTTATTGCACTTCCTAGCTCATTAATTCAAAAAGATTTGCTATTAAATCTTGGATTCATTTTGGAATGGACTTTTCCCCTTCTCCTTTTGTCTCTTTGATTTCCTCTTGGCCTTTGCTGTTCCCGTGGCCCCTGGCTATTTTCCCGTGCTGATGCTCCGTTCTCTGTGCTGGCTCCTCGGTTCCCTTGATGGCTGGGTTTCCCGTGGCTGCCTGATTGGTTTCCCGTGGCCTTCTCCTCTCCGTTTCCTGTACCGAATGGGGGC